AGGATCACCTGGGGGCTTGTTAGAAATTCAGAATAGTGGCCCCCACTCCTGATCTACTGAATTAGAACCAACATTTTAACAGTTTCCCAAGGCGATGTGTATGCACAGTCAAGTCTGAGAATTGTCTACTTACAGCAGGGAGTCTCCAGCCAGAGTAACTGGGTTTGAATCCCAGCACTGCCAACGACTAGCTCTGTGTCATTGAATAAGTCATCTAAACTCTGTACCTCAATTTCTTTGTTTGAAAATGAGGTTAATGACAATAGCAATGTCATAAGATTATTGTGAGCATTAAATGAGTCAAAGTGCTTGTCGAAGTCCTTAAAATAGAGCTTGGCACAGAGTGAAAGATCTATAAGTGTCAGAGATGACGATGATGATGGTGATGCTGCAAATGCAGTAAGGAAATGTCACTGTGATGACTTTCATTTGTAACTTAGTCTGAAGCTTTGTGACCCAGTTCCTGCACTAAATGGACCATTTGCTGACCTTGAACCTCGAGTGGAAAGGTGAGGGTAGAAAATCCACCCTGTGGGTCTTGACCAGAACAATGAGAGTCTGGGAAGGCAGCAGGTACCAGGAGAGGAACTGGACGAGGGCCAGGGTGGGCATTTGAGTATCACTCTTAAAAGTTGTTCTCAGAGGCCCAAAGTCACCAGCATCCTGCATCTTACCTGGAGAAACTGGGCCCACATTCCCTTCAGGGGAAATCAATCTCCATACAGGCAGGGTTCAGGGAGAGACGCCAGAGCAGCCCAAGGCGCTGGGGAGCTTGTCTGCAAGGTTAAGTGGAAGTTAAGAGGGAATAATTTTTTGGTGTTTGTTCACAATAGAAAGGTCTAGCAAGTAAAAACCGACACAAAGAGATGGCCTAGCAAGTGACACCTCACACAGGTTATCAGGACACCTGGTGGAGGGAACGGGCAGACCTGAGCACACACAATGAACACGGGTCAGTGTAAGGCATGATTACAGGCGGCCTAGACCCAGGTCTTCTGCTTCCTAGCTGGGGGACCTTGAACCAGCCACTTAACCTAGGACCTCAGTTTCCTTGTCTGTAAAATGGGATAACAAGAGTACATATCCATAGGGTTGTGAACAGGATTATTTGGAGATTAGCAAACACTTAATAAATGTTATTGCCATTATTGTCATCATCTCTCCCACAAGCGGCACCCACCCATCAGCATGCCTCTTGCCCTGCCTGCAGCAGGCAGCAGTAACTGGTCCACGCCCCCACTTTACCACTCGGCTCCCCACCTCCTCTCTCCGCAGTCCAGGCCCCCAGCCCTCCTGCACTTCAGGGCTCTTAGTTGGACCCCAGGCTTCCTCTGCTGCCCCCTACAGGCCGTGCTCTGCAGGAGGCCAGAGTGACCCTACGAAATAAAAACGAGATCCTTGGCTCCCCCACTTCCCAGCCTTTGTACTTTCAGAGTTTTCTCACCTGAAAAGTTCTTTCCCCGGAAATCCACGCACTTACCCGCTCCATCCACCCTCTCTCAAGTTGCACCCCTAAATCAGACTTTCCCCTTTATTCTGTTGTGCTTTTATTCATAACACATGTCACTCTCTTATAGGATGGATTTCTTTGTATATTTCTTTCGCGTCTGTCTCCTAGAGTGTAACATCAGTGAGTTTAGGACCTTCGTCTGTTTCATTCCCTGCTAGAAACCCATATCTGGGCCTGACAAATGGGAAGTCATAGACAAATATTTGTTGAAGGAATGAATGAAATGAATGAATAATAGTACTCCCCACTGGTGTTATTGTGAGGGTTAAATGAGAGGATGTCTCCATACATTCAGAAAAATTCCAGCAGAGAGTGCTAAACACACACCTTCCTCCCTCCCACCCTTCCTTCTCTCTTATCTCTAATAGCAAGCACCACAGTCAGGACTCAACATTAGAGCTGCAGGAGGACCATAGCTGCCCTGTGAAGCCAATAGATAGCCCTTTCTCCACGTTCTTAGTGGTATATACCTATAAGTCCTCTGTCAAGAGGCAGACCGTATAGGAAACTCATGAGCTAAATTCACAAGTTTCATCCCTTGCTTTATGTGATATTAACAATTTGGAATTTAAGCATTAACACCAACAACAAATCTGAAGTCTCCTCTTTGACTCAGGATCCCAGGCACATGTAGAAAAAGCAGCCGGTTTCCCCTTTCCGATAGCTCATCCCTCCTATAAATTATGGTAATTGTCTCCATGTGCCCATAGCCCATGGGGAGTTTTGCAATAGCCTTTGAGGAGATTAGTGGTCTCTGATGTTGCTTATGAAATTCAGAAAAGCATCTGGAAGTAATTTAAGTTAAGGAATTAATGATTTGGGGGTTAAATAATACACGCCTTAAAAAAAAATACAGGAAACTGTTAGCCCATGAACCTCTAAGTTCACACCTCTATTTTGGAGGGTTTTCCTAAAAAAGATAAACCTACCACATCATCCCTTTTATTTGTTTGTTTGGTTTTGTGTACGTTTGTTTGATGTGTAGGTCAGACGGTAGATTAAATGGGATCCCAAACTCAGATTTGCAGAAGCGAAGCACCCACTACCTGGGTCTCCTTTTGTCTGTTCTGGAAGGAGCAGGAAGGAGCCTCTTATAGATGATACTCGGAGACTCATAGTCTCAAGGAACAGCTGAGACTTGGAACACCTGAGGACAGCGATGCCTCCAGACTGTGAAGTGATTGACCTGCTTAGGGATCCTCTTCTCCTTTATCTTCTCATTTTGACTTGTTATGTATTTTGCTGCTGTTTGTTTCGTTTCCTCCTTTTTGATGATTTGAACCGTGGAGTCCTGGTCCACGACCTGCATTTGGCTTCGCAGTAGAGAGGGCAACATTCTGTGCCAAGAGGAAAGAAATGACGTGTGTGGGGAGGGTGGGAGGAGTAAATTACGAACCTACAAAGGAGAAGAGAGGGGAGTGGAGGGCATTCTCTGGGGCTTTCTGTTCCTGTTATCAGACAGGAGGGAGTGATGCTAAAGCAGACCCCCACCCCTCAGTCAGGAAGAATGAATAGGTTATAGTTCTCACTGAGGCTGGAAACACTTCAATGAAGAATATTTATTCCCCAGTGACTTTCAGGCTAAAAAATAAAAATGAGAAGGAAATGTGCCCTCCATTTGAGGAACCTGAGTCTACTTCATGACTGCTTCCCATGGCTGTGTCTACACTAGCTGAACTGAAGAACTGGGCACCTTTCCAGTATAATCCACTTAGAAAGGGAAGTCTCTGCTTCCTAAGAACCAAGCTTTACAGTCACCTCTCTGGCCTGGCTGGTTTGCCCCACTGCCTTCTCCCCACATCAGGCAAGCAGAGTGGAAGAGAAAGCCCTTGGGCCCTCTTCCTCCCAACAGGGTCCAGAATCCCAGCGGCACCCAGCTGGGAGAAGGGCTCCATGCTGGGGAGTGCCCTCAAAGCCTGTGTCCCCTCACCCCCCAATGCTCCCCTGTAACTGAGTTGGGGCGTGAGGAATGGATTTGTAGTTGCCCAAGTTCTTTCACTTTTATTTTTTCTCAAAGATTCTTTTGTTACTTGAAATTCATTCCTGGCTCTAGTGACCAGGAATGATGGTGACATGTGACACAGTTAGCTTCTTTTCCGAGGTTGGACTGAGCCAGCCCAGGTGAGAGCTGGGCCTCTGAGCCCTGTCCCTGAGGAGCCCTGGACACTGAGGGGACCTCCAGGCAGGCTGTGGGGTTTGGGGAAGCGCGCGGCTGGGGGCGGGCTGGGCTTCCCGGAGAGGCTTCTGGGCTCCCAACTATGGCCTTTCACTCGCGGACGCAAGAGGGAGTCGGGGCCCCGCCTTCAGAGTGCGGAGATACCGGCGTGCAGACGAGGCCTGAGCATCAGTGCCCGCGCAGGCTAGCAGCTGGGATCCTCGCGCGGAGGGCGGGCAGCGCCGGGAACATGAGAGAAAGGATGCAGGGCACGAACGGGGTGGCCAGCACAGAGCTTCCTGGTCTGAATCTGCAGAGAAATTGCTATCGCAGGAGCAAGAGTGGCTGGGGAGGGGGGCGTTTCCCCTCCGAAGTGTTAATAAACCCCCCGGGGGGGGGGGATACGACATCCAATAACATAAAATGATACACAGAGAAATAGGAACGTTTCTTTCACCCTGGCGTTCCAGTCTCCCTCCCAGAGACACTGCTGCTACCTTTTGCTTCACACACACACAGACACAGACACACACACACACACACAGACGTGCACACGCCTCTGTGTACATCCGTGTCCCTCTCAGACTGTTCTGCACGTTGCTTTTTCCCACTGAATAATCTATCCGGAAGATCTTTCCGCATCAACTACGTGGGACTTTTAATTCCAGATGTCCCCAGCTCGCCAGGCAAAAAAATCAGGGGAGGACCTGAAGTTGGGGCGCGGGGAGTGACGACCACCCGGGCCGCCGTGACCGCGGGAGGGTGACGAGGGGGAGGGTCCAGCTCCATCTTGGGTCCGGTACCTGCGCAGAAGTCTCTGGGACGTGAGCCCGGGCGCAGGTCGGAGGAGCGGCCTCCCGGGCCCGGCCTGAGCCCTACCCGCCAAGTCTCCCCCCGTGCGCCTGCTCCCCGCGGGAGGGACCCTTCACCCGCGCCG